ATTATGACATCTTCACTGCAAGCAGATGTCTTTGTACAGGATGTGCATAAAAAATATAGCATGTCCTGTCAAACCTATTTAAGATGTGAAATATGACCTGCCAGAATCGAATATGTAAAGAAATTGTCTATCGAGGGGTTGTGAAAATATTATGCTTCAAAATTATCGATCTCAATGCACTTCTTATCCTCGGCCTTGAATCAACAGGTTTTCTAGCCGCCTCTTGGCTTTATGATTTGATAATAGTGGGCATTCTGTATTAACTCAAAACCAGAAACATCTTCTATATATTGATCAGTTTCATGAATTTGTTAAATTCTACATCATTTGTCTGTGATGTTGAGTTGAATTTGAGCTGGTCTGGCAAAGTGTTGAAGGCTGATATAGGGATTGAAATGTTCCATTCCAACATGTCAGGGTGCAGTGGCGTAGCTTAGTGATTAAAGCGTTTGCTCCTCACGCTATGTACTTGGGTTCGATTCCCCATATGGGTACAAAGGGTCAAGTCCATTTCTGGTGTACCCATACTCCTGGAATATTGCTAAAAGCAGCATAAAATCATAACCACACTCACTCACTCAACATTTCAGACACAGGTTTGATTCTCACCAAGTTGTGGGTAATTCTATAAATGTTTCCTCAAATCGAGTGGTTCTACTCAGACAATCCATGAGGCAGAGGAGCAGCCCCTGGCTGTCTTTGTGTACGATCAAACCTGACTTGTTAAATATGTGACTAAGAATTGACTCAACAGAAAAGCGGTTTACCTGCTTGAGTATCACCAAACAACACCTTGTTGTGGCTTCTTCCAAAGAATGCATAGCAGCAATGTGTAACACTCTGTTCAGTGATGCACACTGTCAAGCTGGTAGCAATCAGCTGATGAACACTCTCACCTGCCTGGGTGTTCACTCCCTGCATTCAGTCTGGCATTTGCCGTGACTCATCCAGCAACCTCCTTACTCCTTAACTACAGAAAAATTGAAGGATATTATTTGAGCCTATTTTTGTCCCTTCCCCTCTGACTTGGATGGTAAAGGAAGGGGGATTCAGAATGTTATAAATGTTTCTCTCTCGTTTGACTTGTGTGCTCTCCTGGCGACTGTCCATGGCATCTGTAGAATGTTGAAACAAGCTTACTGGTGATCAGGTTCACAGCAAACATGGGCTGCAGCATTTACACCAATCTGTCTCATTTCCTTGAAACAAAACTCACTCATTCAATCAGAGGCCTGAACTAGACCTGTAAGAGCACAGATTTTTCACTTTGTTTTATTGGGTTATTAACGTGGAAGTTCATAATGGATGTTCACCAAACTCGAATGAAGACTGTCTGGAGCATCCATGTTAATGAGTAAGTCACGAGTCTTGGAAATAATAGGGTGACCATACAAACCAGTAATTGAGCCAGCAGAATCAATCATCAGACACCCTCCTGGTCTAAGAGTCCGACGATTGCTTGGACACAAATCATTACTCTGCAGCAAGCAGTACTTTGGGACAAAATGGATCTCATGACATCACCTTCCCAGTTCGTTTTCACATCTCAACTGAAGACACATCTCCAAACTTTTCTTCAGTTGGTAAACTTTCAGTTATTCCACAGTTTTCTTTGTTTGTTTGTTGTATGGACCGGACAATACAGTGATCAACAGCATGAGCATCAGTCTACGCAGTTGGTCACAGTTATTATCCCCCGCTGCGCGTTTTGCGCGAAGCGGGGGATATAGTATTAGGCTCCGTCCGTCCGTCTGTCGGAATTGGAATATCTTAAGAACCGTTGACTGGATTCTTTTCATTTTGGTACCTAGGTTCATCACAGTATAAGAAAGGTCCAGGTCAGGTTTGGTGACCTTGACCTTCATTTCAAGGTCACAAGGGGACTTAAATGTTTTACCCTTGCCAGCGAGATATCTCAAGAACCGTTCTCTGGATTTTCTTCATATTCAACACCAAGCTTCATCTAGGGCGCAGGGCCCAGTCAATTTTGGTGACCTTCACCTAATTTTCAAGGTCATGGCGACACTTTAAAGATTTCAGCATGTTAAGCTGCATGTTAAGCTTGTCAGCGAGATACCTCAAGAACCATTCACTGGACTTTCTTCATATTTGACACCAAGCTTTATCTAGGGAAGTTGCAAGGCCCAGTCGATTTTGGTGACCTTCACATAATTTTCAAGGTCATGGCGACACTTTGAAGATTTCAGCATCTTAAACTGCATGTTAAGATTGTCAGCGAGATATCTCAAGAACAGTTCACTGGATTTTCTTCATGGACTTTCAAGACTTCCCTTGAATGTTTTTCAATAAGTAATTTCATTATTACTATTTTTGCATATTTCATATACTAAGACATTCATGTCAAGGTCAAAGTGAGTCTTGAAAATATTTGTGCGTTTGAACAACTACAGAGCAAGATATCAAGAGAGGTTGACTGGTCATGTTTTTGTTTACATTTAGCTTCATCTTAAATTACGACCTTCACTTTCATTACTTTTTAAGTTTGATTTGATAATTTGCGGCGGAGATTATGTCACTTTAGTGACAATGCTTGTGTATATTTAGTTTCTTGTAAATCTCTCATGAATCACACTAGCAGTTAGTTGATGAAATTTGATGTCTTATAAATGAACTTGCCATAGCGAGTGAAGTAGAGAGTCATGTTGCCATAGCGAGTGAAGTACAAAGTCATGTTGCCATTCTGAGAAGTACTAAGTCATGGTGCCATTCTGAGAAGTACTAAGTCATGTTGCCATAGCGAGTGAAGTACAAAGTCATTTTGCCATTCTGAGAAGTACTAAGTCATGTTGCCATTCTGAGAAGTACTAAGTCATGTTGCCATAGCGAGTGAAGTCATGTTCATGAAGTCAAGTCATGTTGCATAGTGAGTGAAATGTTGCCATAGTGATTGAAGTACCGGTACTAATTTCTTGTGCCATAGCGAGTGAAGTACTAAGTCATGTTGCCATAGTGACTGAAATGTTGCCATAGTGATTGAAGTACTAATTTCTTGTGCCATAGTGAGTGAAGTACTAAGTCATGTTGCCATAGTGAGTAAAGCATTAAGTCATCTTGTCATATTAAAGTCAGTGTATAAAATAGTTTTAAAATATGGCCTGCCCAAGGACTGGCTGTCCAAAAAAGTGACCAGTCCTGAACAAACGCAGCCAGTCCCAAAAACTAAAACAATGAAAAAATAATAAATAAGACGAAGTTCAAACCATGTTAAGTTAATTTTTTCAAATATTTCCCTCGACCAAAGGACAGCCTTACTTATTTAATAGACCGTCCTTCACAAAAATAGACCGTCAAGGACAGTGGGTCAGGCTGTTTTATACACTGGTAAAGTACTTAGTCATGTTGCCATAGTGAGTGAAGTACTAAGTCATGTTGCCATAGTGAGTGAAATACTAAGTCATGTTGCCATAGTGAGTGAAATACTAAGTCATGTTGCCATAGTGAGTGAAATACTAAGTCATGTTGCCATAGTGAGTGAAATACTAAGTCATGTTGCCATAGTGAGTGAAATACTAAGTCATGTTGCCATAGTGAGTGAAATACTAAGTCATGTTGCCATAGTGAGTGAAATACTAAGTCATGTTGCCATAGTGAGGTGAAAAATACTAAGTCATGTTGCCATAGTGAGTGAAATACTAAGTCATGTCATGTTGCCATAGTGCCATAGTGAGTGAAATACTAAGTCATGTTGCCATAGTGAGTGAAATACTAAGTCATGTTGCCATAGTGAGTGAAATACTAAGTCATGTTGCCATAGTGAGTGAAATACTAAGTCATGTTGCCATAGTGAGTGAAATACTAAGTCATGTTGCCATAGTGAGTGAAATGAAATGCTAAGTGAGTCATGTTGCCATAGTGAGTGAAATACTAAGTCATTGTTGCCATAGTGAGTGAAATACTAAGTATTGTTGCCATACAACAACGTATGGCATGGATCTACAACTTCTTTATTAGTACAACAGAATGTTTCTGAGCTACTTCTAGCCCCTTCATCATGTTGCCATAGTGACTGAAATATCAAGTTATGTTGCCATAATGACTGAGATATTAAGTTTTCTAGGATGCTTCGGTGAAAGATCAAAGGCACCGACAGTACTTTATCAGACGATAATGTGCACTTTTTGCATTACGTCACAATGTATTAGCGTCACTGCGCCATTCTAGTCTGCCCCCTCGTAACAGAACGTTCGCAATGTTTACATTCCAACAATGCAAATCGTGGAATGTCGCTTGACTACTCAGCTTCATCTGGATGTACTGATCTAAACTTACGTTGGTAGTAGAAATGCGACGTTCATATTGCCCCATATGGTTTACGTTAATCATAGATGTCATTAAAATAATTTAGAGAAGGTATTTAATCCAAACTTAAACTGTCATCAAACTGTTATCATTTGTTTTTTTCTGGTAATGTTCGTCTTAACATAGGGGCCAGACACATCAATAGAACAGCGAGCCAGTTAGCCCTGTGCCAGGATTCTTAATTTATGTCACTGACACAAATTTGTTTGTTTTCTGCCTTAAATTAATCATAATTGTCCTTAGAAAGTATTAAATTTAGCATCTTAGAAAAGACTTGCGTCCGAGTGCTTTAACGTTATAATAGTTCAGGGCGATATGTGGAGGATCGTTTAGTCCTTGTACTTTAACTATAATAGTTCAGGGCGAAAGTGTGCTTTATTACACTTTACATGGTGGTAGAGTGAACTGTATTTCTTAAATGTTGCCACAGTGACTGAAATAGTATGTCATGTTGCCATAGTAAGTGAAAAGGTGGTTTGATATGTGGAGGATCGTTTAGTTTATTGGTCGCAAAGCAGAAAAGTAGGAGATAACGTAGAAGAAAAACAATGCAAAAGTTTTAGTGACATATTTATTCAATCAAACATAGAATTCTACAGACTGTACAGCAGGTTTATAAACAAAGAAAATTAAATAGATCTGGCCTTGACATGATGTTAATGTGATGCTTTTTGTTTCAGAGTATTCCCGACTGACGCGTGTCCCAGCAGAGACCGTGCCGCTGTCTGACCCCATCTCCGCAACACGGGTACTGTGTGGAGCCCTGATCATGCCCACAATTGCCACCATCGTTGGCAAACTTATGTTTGGGTCGGTGGAGTCTAACTTCCAGAGGACTCTACTGGTGAGTTGTTTTGGGACACATTGAGCGTCTTCGGTAGCTGCCAGATTTCATGAAATTTCAGATTAGCCAATGAAAACTGAAGTGTTCTGTAATCAGTTCGATGAACTAGAATGTCAATGTCAAGGTCATTTTGAAGGTCGTTCACTCATATAGTGCTTATGACTAAATGTAGAAAAAAAAAAAAAAATGTTTCATGATGACATTTCTGATTGGAATGTTTGGGGGCAATCATGAAAAGGTCCAGAAAGACCACTATTCAAAAGATCACTTTCTGTTTCAGGGTGGTATAGCATTTATCGCCATTAAGGGTGTACTCAAGATTTACTACAAGCAGCAGCAGTATCTTCGGCAGGCAAACCGCATCATCCTGGATTTCCCTGAAGAAACAACATGTGCAGCTCAGACGCCTCCACAGTGAGGCCAGCTCCAAACGGAGCCAAACAGAAGCTCCATGGGACACTGGAGCCAATCAAGTGAACTTTGTGTGGAGGGATACAGGGACGATGTGGATATTTAACATATGATGTATATTTGTAAATAATAATCATCAGGGACTGATCAAGTCACAGACATCCTCAAGATTGAACTTAATGGACACAGAGATGGACTTCCGTGAACAGACATGCAGACATGTGTTTTGTGTGAACCCATGATTTAGGTACTTTTCTGTCCTTTATGACACACAGACACATAGGCACACTTCAGACACTAAGACACAGATGTCAGGATAGACAGATACCCATATTTAATTGTCCCAACTGACATCCACACACACAACAAGAGGTGGACTCATGGACAGTGAGTGGTGCCATGGCAGGATCCATTCATGATCCATAGTTATATCCATGGATGATCCGCAGGAGAATCCTATCATGATCCATAGTTTGATCCAGGTATGATCCGCAGCAGGATCCAGTCTTGATCCATAGTTTGATCCAGGGATGATCCACAGCAGGATCCATAGTTTGATCCAGGGATGATCCACAGCAGGATCCAGTCATGATCCATAGTTTGATCCAGTCATGATCCATAGTTTGATCCAGGGATGATCCACAGCAGGATCCAGTCATGATCCATAGTTTGATCCAGGGATGATCCACAGCAGGATCCAGTCATGATCCATAGTTTGATCCTGGGATGATCCACAGCAGGATCCAGTCATGATCCATAGATTTGATCCAGGGATGATCCACAGCAGGATCCAGTCATGATCCATAGTTTGATCCTGGGATGATCCACAGCAGGATCCAGTCATGATCCATAGTTTGATCCTGGGATGATCCACAGCAGGATCCAGTCATGATCCATAGTTTGATCCAGGGATGATCCACAGCAGGATCCAGTCATGATCCATAGTTTGATCCAGGGATGATCCGCAGCAGGATCCAGTCATGATCCATAGTTTGATCCAGGGATGATCCGTAGCATTATCCTGGGTGGCAGGACTTCTTCTTTTGAACAGTTTCTATATTTGTCAATGAATGCTGCAAATTTTGTGTTCTAATTCCCCCGTTTAATATTGTTAGATTTAAATAGATATATGTGCATATATATATAGGTACACATCAGTAGAAAGATATACAGAGCTTGTAAAAAGGGACTGCCACACACACAAGAAAAGGAATTACTCAGACTGAGGCGCGCGCGTGCGCACACACACACATATGATCAGACATGCACAGACACACACAGACATGATCAGCCAGTCATACATATCAGTCATTAGTTATAAATACAGAATCAAACACAAACATTCAAAGGCTGACATATTGTGATATGCTGGACAGTATTCCTCCCTATGTGATCCTGGGGCAACAGAGAAGGTGGAGTCAGTAGTCCTAACTGTGAGATGATTGTGTAATCTGTCACCATCCATTGTATGACAAATAAAACATTGTGGCAGTTTAAACAGCCATTTACAAAGAAAGGAAAGTGTTCTGTCTATATTCACTGACAGTCCCATGTCACAGTGTTGGAGATGAGTATTGAAATGGGTGTTGTCCATCTGTCCGTCTTTGTCAAACACAGGATAAAGGGAAAGCTAAATAACAATTAGAAGTACACAATGACCTTGCAGATTTGCAGTGTTTCCTTTCCAGTTCCTGATAGCTTCTGGCGGTAGGGTAGCCTAGTGGTTAAAACGTTCACTCGTCATGCTGAAAGCCCAGGGTTCGATTCCCCACATGGGTACGATGTTTGAAGCCCACTTCTGGTGTCCCCGTGATATTGCTGGAAGATTGCTAAAAGCGGCTTAAAACCATACTCACTCACTCACTCCTGATAACTTCCCCCTTTCATGTCATTCACAGCTCTAAAACAACACCATAGAGGAACTTTTCTAAGACGTGTGTTTAAAAATGACAATTTTGAGGGGCATTATTCTGAGATTTATGTGTCAAGTCGAAATTTAGGTTTATTGGATAATATTTACATTTTCGTATTTTATCATGCTGTTTTTTAAATGATATATATGACATGAAAATGTTTAAAAGAAGAGGGTGAATATGTTGGGGGCTTGGTGTGTGGCCTCACCAGACTGGTCAACAGGTCATATGTCTTGTTATTGAACACCTTACCCTTGTTCATGAGCTCCAACAGTGTAGCCAATTATAAGTAATGAGTACATGTGGTGTGTGATTGTTGAGTACATGTGGTGTGTGATTGTTGAGTACATGTGGTGTGTGATTGTTGAGTACATGTGGTGTGTGATTGTTGAGTACATGTGTGTGATTGTTGAGTACATCCGTGTGATTGTTGATACATGTGATTGTAGTACATGATTGTTGAGTACATGTGGTGTGTGATTGTTGAGTACATGTGGTGTGTGATTGTTGAGTATTGTTGAGTACATGTGGTGTGTGATTGTTGTAGTACATGTGGTGTGTTGATTGTTAGTACATGTGTGTGTGATTGTTGAGTACATGTGGTGATTGTTGAGTACATGTGTGTGTGATTGTGATTGTGGTGTGATTGTGAGCATGTGAGTATTGTTGAGTACATGTGTGATTGTTGATACATGTGTGAGTTGACATGTGGTGTGTGTGTGATTGTTGAGTACATGTTGATTGTGTGATTGTTGAGTACATGTGTGTGATTGTTGAGTACATGTGGTGTGTGATTGTTGAGTACATGTGTGTGATTGTTGAGTACATGTGGTGTGTGATTGTTGAGTACATGTGTGTGATTGTTGAGTACATGTGTGTGATTGTTGAGTACATGTGTGTGATTGTTGAGTACATGTGTGTGATTGTTGAGTACATGTGGTGTGTGATTGTTGAGTACATGTGTGTGATTGTTGAGTACATGTGTGTGATTGTTGAGTACATGGTGTGTGATTGTTGAGTACATGTGGTGTGTGATTGTTGAGTACATGTGGTGTGTGATTGTTGAGTACATGTGGTGTGTGATTGTTGAGTACATGTGTGTGTGTGATTGTTGAGTACATGTGGTGTGATTGTTGAGTACATGTGGTGTGTGATTGTTGAGTACATGTGGTGTGTGATTGTTGAGTACATGTGTGTGATTGTTGAGTACATGTGGTGTGTGATTGTTGAGTACATGTGGTGTGTGATTGTTGAGTACATGTGGTGTGTGATTGTTGAGTACATGTGGTGTGTGATTGTTGAGTACATGTGGTGTGTGATTGTTGAGTACATGTGGTGTGTGATTGTTGAGTACATGTGGTGTGTGATTGTTGAGTACATGTGTGTGATTGTTGAGTACATGTGTGTGATTGTTGAGTACATGTGTGATTGTTGAGTACATGTGTGTGATTGTTGAGTACATGTGTGATTGTTGAGTACATTTGTGTTATTGTTGAGTACATGTGTGTGATTGTTGACTACATGTGTGTGATTGTTGAGTACATTTGTGTTATTGTTGAGTACATGTGTGTGTGTGTGATTGTTGAGTACATGTGGTGTGTGATTGTTGAGTGCATGTGGTGTGTGATTGTTGAGTACATGTGTGTGATTGTTGAGTACATGTGTGTGATTGTTGAGTACATGTGTGTGATTGTTGACTACATGTGTGTGATTGTTGAGTGCATGTGGTGTGATTGTTGAGTACATGTGTGTGTGATTGTTGAGTACATGTGGTGTGTGATTGATTGTTGAGTACATGTGTGTGATTGTTGACTACATGTGTGTGATTGTTGAGTGCATGTGGTGTGTGATTGTTGAGTACATGTGTGATTGTTGACTACATGTGTGTGATTGTTGACATGTGTGAGATTGTTGACTACATGTGTGTGATTGTTGAGTACATGTGTGTGGTTGTTGACTACATGTGTGTGATTGTTGACTACATGTGTGTGATTGTTGAGTACATGTGTGTGATTGTTGACTACATGTGTGAGATTGTTGAGTACATGTGTGTGGTTGTTGAGTACATGTGTGTGGTTGTTGAGTACATGTTGTGTGTGATTGTCTTGAGTGCATGTTGTGTGTGATTGTCTTGAGTGCATGTGGTTTGTGATTGATTTGATCACATGAGGTGTGTGATTGTAGAGTGCTCTTGAGCGCATGTGGTGTGTGATTGTCTGTGAGCTATTTTGGTCTGATTGGTCAAATATCCCGAGTGCACACGTCCTTGTGTGGGGTTCTGTTTTGTTCTGTGATTGTCTTGGGACTTTGTTGATCTGTGATCATCTGGGACTTGGATTTTATATTACATGCTTATGAAGGTTTGGTTCAGTTTATTACGATAATTCAAAAGTTGTTTGAATATTAATGAGACACGCATGCATGCACACAGACACGCATGCATGCACACAGACACGCATGTATGCAAGCTTCCCTCCTGTAGAACAGCCTGTGGCGACAACACTCCATAACTGAATGCCACTTATTTAATTGAGCACGAATATTAACTGTAATTGTATCATTGCACAGCGACATTAACTATGATTGCATTATTTGTTCCCAGATAATTAGATGGAAGTCAATTCAAACAACATGAAGCCATTCCATCAGAGGCCACATAAAAAAAATACTTGTTTCCAGTATTTCTACATTCACGCCACTTGTGCCTATTGCCAAGGAGGATGAACCCATATAATCTATTCATTCCACCAGTTTCACACCTTACAAACAAGTAACTATGTACAATAGGTCCACTGATAACAGTCATGGGTGTGTCTAATCTGTTTACGGGAAACATTAATTATAATCAATATTTATTGCGACCACATTTATCACTGTCATCAGTGTAACCACAGGAATTAATTTCTTGTATTTATTAGCAATCAGTTCCACCTAGTCAATATTTGATCGCTTTAGATTCTGCATTTGACATGTCACTTGGACCTATCCATTTCCAAATGAAGATTTTTGGTGCCAAAACAACAATTACATAGATCTGTTTAATGATTGTGCTGAGTTTCCTCCCTTAGTCATGAGAGGATCCACTGATCATGGGTTCAATTCCTGGCTTTGTCCTGGTTACTTTGCTTGGTTGGTCAGCAGTGTCCATGCTTGTGGCTTTGACCAACATTGTAGCAAATGAGTTGGATCATACCTGGGATATTCAGCACTTTTGTGAAACCCATAAGGACATGAAACATGACTGGTGCGAATTGGGCGGTGGGGTAGCCTAGTCGTTAAAGTGTCCGCTCAACCTGCTGTAGTCCTGGGTTTGATTCCCGACATGGGTACAATGTGTGAAGCCCATTTCTGGTGTCCCCTGCTGTGATATTGCTGGAATATTGCTAGAGGCAGTGTAAAACCTCACTCACTCACTTGCACACTCATTCACTGTGCCCAAGGAGGAAACTGCAAATCAAACGGCACAATGCTTACATATCTAAAATGTCTGCCACCTGTATGACTTTAGGATTTCCTCCACATTGTGTGTGTGTGTGTGTGTGTGTGTGTGTGTGTGTGTGTGTCTGTGCGTGCGTGCATGTGTGAATGTCTCAGTCAGTAATCTCTCGGAGATATCATTAAGGTGTTAGTCAGTTTGATACGTGTCAAACTACTACCAGTAGCCATCTTCCTTGGCAACAAGTGATGGAACTTCAAGGAAACAAAGCATCAACTGAAAAAAGCTAACCCCAATCATCAGAAATGGATGATGATGACCCAAATGTCGGTAGAGGGGACATGACTGAAATATTCAAAATAACAGATTACCTCCAGATTATTATGTGCCTTACATTGTCACAATGTGTCGAACCTCCTGAGCTGAACTGACAGGTGCAGCTCATCTCATATAGAGCTGTCCAGATTTGTGGTTGGGAAACATGTAAACAGAGGCTTTTGTGGATGATGCTTTAATAAAATGTGTGTTACCAAAAATGTTTCTTGCATTTCAATATAACATAAGTCACATTTTGTCACGACTTCAGTCATTTGGAAATGAAATCATGGAAATTGAGAAAGTGAAACTTTAATGATTAGTGCTGCTTACTATTTGCTTGCATTATTCTGTAACTAGTGAGGCGTGCTTTATTTGTGGGTTGGATGGGGATGTCTCTGGATACATTTGTCTACATAGGGTAGGTGCCATGACACGTGTCTGTGGTTGGGGCAACCCTGACACATCTTTCTATATGGGGTGGGGATGCCCCCTGACACAACTGTCATAGAGTGGTATGTCTTCCCAAAAATCTGTCGGAGACATATTGGGGATGTCCCCTGACACATCTTTCTATGTGGGGTGGGGATGCCCCCTGACACAACTGTCATAGAGTGGTATGTCTTCCCAAAAATCTGTCGGAGACATATTGGGGATGTCCCCTGACACATCTTTCTATGTGGGGTTCAGGATGCCCCCCTGACACAACTGTCATAGAGTGGTATGTCTTCCAACAAATCTGTCTGAGACAGACTGGGGATGTCCCCTGACACATCTTTCTATGTGGGGTGGGGATGCCCCCTGACACAACTGTCATAGAGTGGTATGTCTTCCCAAAAATCTGTCGGAGAC